GGGAAAATTTCCTAAAAATTTCAGCCTCCCAGCTTCACTAGTTCCCGAGTTAGCCATTTTCCCGCCGCAAAATCTCACGAGCCCGTACGCGGGAACCACGCACACCTGCGGGCTGTATTTGAAATCTTTGAGTTATATTTGGACGGGGAAGATGAGGTATAGAGTTAAAGTGAGGGAATCTATTAATAAAATTTTTTAAATTGCCGTTGTAGTATTGCATTTATTATGGCAAGGTATTCCAGATACCATTGCATATGTCATAACTTTATATTCTCAGCCAATTTTATAGTTGTCATGACGGTGAATCAGTCCTTGAGTTTTTGTTGAATCAGTGATAAACAAAAACAGATGCATGCTGAGGAATCAAAATCAGTTTTCTGATAATTCCAGCTGTACTGATGATTCCTGCTCCTATCCGCGTGCAAAGTTCGGTCTGTGTTTACAGCTAAGGGATGAAACACACAGACTGCATCGTAAAATGTCTTCTTACACATGACTCTTAAATCCCTCTATTCTACTATTATTTCATTTAAGTAACCACTGAAGGCGGAAGTCATTCACGCCACACTTGATGGGTACTTGTTCGAATTGGTGCTTTTACCTTTTATAGAGATTGAAACGAGATAATAAAGTCTGAGTTTTGACTTTAATAACTAGATAAAAAGCTTGCTAGACATTCCGACGAAAGAAGATCTATTGAGCTTGATTTCTAATTCCCCGTATCTACTATAGCAAGAATCTCCTGGTATCCCTTTGTTGCTTTTTTTTTCAATTTTTCAAAAAAAAAGTGCTTTCTATGTTCGTTATTTCAGGGCGGAGAAGTTGCATTTGTTGGCCGATTGATCGAAGATAGCTTTGTTTTGCAAAATGCGGTGAGGTAAGTTTCAAAATTTTCGCCCATTAGTTATTGCTTTTTGAATAAAAATGGCATAAATTTGTACTAAAAAAAATGGTGCATTAAAATAAGGCTTTTTTTTGCTTTACAGACTCTATACAACAATGGTGGGAAAAAAGTCAAGCTTGACTGAGCTGCGTAAGAAACTGAGACGTTGTGTGAATGTTCGATTAACCGTTACAACACTCTGTCAGGGCAGGACACATCGTTGGGTACTGGCATGGACTTTCGAATCTCGAATTAAACTGGACAAGGTATGTTTTTTGGGTGGAAATCCTCCAGAATTTAGGTGTAATTCCAAATTTCGAAGTTTTTTTTTTGGAAATTTTTTTTTTGCTACTTTGATCATTCATCTTCATGTTCCTTCTCATATTGATGTGGTTGGCAAATTTATCTACTGCTTTACGTGAAAATTAGCGTCACAGAAAGGGAAGAGGAAGAAAGAGAGGAGAGCGGTGGGGAAGAGGAGGGGGGAGGCGGAGGGGGAAAGAACTTCCTGGGAAAAAGTATTTTTTTTCCTCGTTAGTGATTTTTTTTCTGATATTTGAATTTTCCATAGGTTTTTTTAAGATTTTTCGCTTTTCAACTTCTTTTTTTGGTTTCATGTTCACTGCCTTGTGTCAAAAATTTTGAGTTTTGCTGCTAAAACGTATTGCTTCAGCGTAACACATCGTGCTGTCTATTATTTGTCCCGGTTTTTTTTTTAGCTCGCCGACTGTACGCCTCCTTTGGAATTGGGATTGCCACATGTTCTGGAAGGCCGAGAAAGTTCAATCGCCTGGATAAGAAAAATACTTGCTCTGCTGGAGGTAAGTTTTCATCTTTTTGATTTTTTCATGATTTTTTATTTCACCATTTATGTACATATTTTCGATTTCGAATTTTTTGCTTATTCGAGGTGGATGTTTTTTTTGTAGGTTTTCGATTTTTCGATTTCTTCATGGCTTTTTTTTTGTCTTACCATCTGTGTGTGAATTTCCCGTTTAGGACTTCCAGCTTATTCAGGGTTGAATTTTTTTCAGATTTCATGTGAGAAGCAAGAGAATGACGTTTTCTTCTGTGAAGCAATGAAAAATACCTGGTCGCAGCAGCGTCAAAAACGGCGAGCCGAGCGAGCTTTAGCCTCACTTAGCGCCCCTCCAGCAAGCAAACGTTTTTGTTTTGGACGATCGAGCATTGGTTGCACCGCCGAACTGGGAAGTGGTGATGGCAAAGATAGCTTAAGCGAAGCCGGAAATCACATTGATTGCTTGCTGATCAGTACAAGTGATGCGAACAAACGTGATGCATCCGTACAGGTTTGAATTATTACCGCCAAACTACGAGCATTCATATAAACTAGTAATCATGATAATCGTAGTCGTGATAATCGTTTTTCTAGTTATCATGATGAATTCTACATTTTTGATTCATTGTTTTTGTACATTTATCATAAACAGGAAGTTTATTACTATATTTTTCAAATCCGTGTTTGAAGTGAAAATCATAATTTTTATTGCTGATTTTTCATAAAATTAGCTTTTTCGTTATTTTTCAAAGCTGGTTTTTGTAAAATAATTGTATATTTTATAAAATATAGCATAATTGAGTTTAAGCAGATTGTGCGACTAGTTAGTGAAAAAATTCATTTCAAATACTTGAAATAGCGTAATTTTTAGCCTGATTTTCCAACTTTTCGCAGCCTAAAGCTTCCCCCCGGTTGTATTGATCAGTAGTTCTTTAGCTGGGGGTAGTAACTTGCGGGCAGTCTTGACACTTGTCTTGTTTGCTGAAGAGAT